CTCTAAATCCCCGTTAAGAAAGGCTGTTTTCACATCCATTTGATGTAACTCTAAGACATAATAAGCTACTATCGCCGTAATAATTCTTAATGAGTCCTTCTTAGAAACTGGAGAGAAGGTCTCTTTGTAGTCAACACCATCTTTTTGAGTAAACCTTTGGCAACAAGTCTAGCCTTATATCGTTCAATATTATCTTTTGAGTCGCATTTGGTCTTAAAGACCCTCTTACACCCAACTCTTTTGGAACCTTCATGCAATTCAATGATGTCCTAGACTTTATTATAATCCATTGATTTTAACTCTTCTTTTATGGCATCTAACTACTTATTAGAATTTATACTTTCTATGGCTTGTGAAAACGAAACTGGATCATCATCAATTCCTAAGTCAAAATCTAACTCTTGAAGATAAACCATATAATCATTCGAAATAACAGATCTTTTAACTCTAGTAGATCTTCTTAATGCTACTTATTGTGGTTCATCAATTATAGGTTCATTGGTGACAATTTTATTTTGGGATGTATAATTATTCATTTGCTCATCCTGTATATTGTCAAGCTTTTCAACAATAGTAGGAATAACAACTTTATTAGAAGTGATGGGCAAAGGAATTTTCACCCCAACTTCTTTAACCTCTACATTACGAGGTTCTATACTCCCACTAATTTCACCATTTTCAATGAACCTAGCATTTTCAGTTTCAATAATTTTCGTACTATGATTAGGATAATAAAATCTATACCTTTTAGATTTTTTTAGATAACCAATGAAAAAATTACTGGTTGTTCTTGAATCCAGTTTTCTTTCATGTAGATTATAAATTTTTATTTCCGGTGGGCAACCCCAAACATGCAGGTGCTTTAAACTATATTTTCTTCATGTTCACAGTTCAAAGGGGGTCTTTGAAACTGCCTTACTAGGAACCTTGTTTAACAAATACATAGCGGTTTTTAAAGCATGCATCCACAAAGATAAGGGTAAAGAAGAATAACTTAACATACATCTAACCATATCCATTAAAGTACGATTGCGTCTTTCTGCAACACCATTTTGTTGTGGTGTGCCAGGCATTGTGTATTGAGCACAAATGCCACGCCTTTCAAGAAATTTAGCAAATGGACCAGGACATTGTCCAGATTCATCAAACCTTCCATAAAATTCACCACCTCTATCAGACCTTATGATTTTCACTTTTCTATCTAATTGCCTCTCAACCTTTTTCTATCTAATTACCTCTCAACCTCATTAATAAACACCTCAAGAACGTCTACTGATTGAGATTTTTCATGCAATAAATAGATATAACCATAATTTGAAAAATCATCAATAAATGTAATAAAATATTTTTGACCACTAAATGAAGTCACATCAAAAGGTCCGCATATATCAGTGTGTATGATTTCAAGAAGCTGTGTGCTTCTTGTGGCTGCCTTTTTAATTGTGTGTTTAATAAATTTTTCTTTAATACAATCCACACAAATATCAAGATCAGTGAAATCCAAATCAGGAAGAATTTCATTCCTCACTAATCTTTGTATTCTTTCTTTGGATATATGACCCAAAAGTTTATGCCACAAGTAAGCATAATTTTCATTCATTAAACCACGTTTTATTCCAACATTATGATGCAAGGTTAATAAAGTCTCAGCAAATAAATTATCAATTTTTAATTTATATAAATCATCGCAAAGCATACCAGAACCAATAGGTTGATTACACTTAAATAAACTGAAACATTCACTTCCAAACTTAAAACAAAAACCAGCTATATCAAGTTTCGATAAAGAAACTAAATTTCTATAAATAGAAGGTACATAAAGAGTTTGAAAAAGATCTAAATAATGTCAGTATCTAAAATCAAACGATATGTTCCAATGGCTTCTACTTGAGCTTTGACTCTATTTTCCATGAAGATAAACTTTTTATTTGGCTTTATGATTTGGGTCGTAAGAAATTCTTGCATCACATTTGAAACATGAGTGGTACAACCAGAATCAATCCACCAAGTATTATAAGAAACCTCAGCCAAATTTGATTTGAAACATACAAAAATACTAGGCTTACCTTTCTTTTCAAATCAAGCCTTACGTTTCAAGCAATCTTTCTGATAGTGTCCACGCTTGCGATAGAAATGACATCTATCATTCTTTGGTTCTTTCTTTTGGATTTTGACATATGACACATTAAGATTTAAGTGTCCTTTATTGCTCTTTAGATTTTTCTTTCCTGATTTTCTTTTAAAATCTGGTTGATCTATGAGATTAATTGAGTGAATTTCTTATTTCTTAAGCCTTGATTTCTCCTGAATAAGCATACTCTGTAATTCGATCACATTCCATTTATCTTTAATAGTATTATAATTATTTTGGAATGGACTATATTCAAGAAGCAATAAGTTTATAATAAACTGTACAAGAAATCTTTCACTCACTTTCATTCTCATAGTATTCAATCTTGCTGCTATATTAGTCATTTTAGTAATGTGCTCATAAATAGTACGAGAACCATTTAATTTCATGGTGGTTAACATACCCATTAAAGTTTCAGCACGTGACTTACCAGCAGACTCAGATTGAGAAATATTCTCCACAAACTTCATAAATTCTTTAGCATTATCTTTTATTGGAATTGTTGGCTTAATAATGTCTGCTACAGTCATTCGCATAAATATTAGGCTTAATCTATTTGATCTTTTCCAAGCTTCATGAAAATATCTTTCTTCAGCACTGCTTGTATCAGTAAGAGCAGTAGGCTTCTCATTAAGTAGTGCAAAATCCAGATCCAAAACATCTAAATGAAATTGGATTTGTTCACTCCATTCAGAATAATTAAGCCCATTGAACTTTATAATAGATGAAGCTTGCGAATGAATAATTACAGAATTAGATGCTGCAAAATAAAATATAAGACTCTCACGTATCGATGATTTGAAAATTAAATTTAAAACATAAAATAGATTCAGATAACATTTCATTAATCAATAAAATGTATATTGAAGTTCTCCTTTGGGTGATACTACAATATACAATGATAATCATAATTTATGCTTAAAATAAAATTCTCATAATTGATAATTATACATACTCTAATTCAATATATTTGCTATCTTTGGATATACTAAATATATTTAATTAAGTATGATAATTTATCACATTTATATCCAATAGTACAAAATGACTAATCAACCTTTGGACGATTCTTAAATATTTTGTAGCAATTTGAATGTTAATTACTCGTGATAAAATTTTTATATAACATTATGTCATTCTATTAATAGCATCGCATACTCACGAGTAATTAAATATTATTTAATTGATATTTATGAAAACTTTCTAGTTTGACCATTTTGTTGATTAACAAACTATGCTTAATATAAATATCAAATTAAATAATTATGACGATGATTATTTCAAATAAATGAAATACATAAAAAAATACTTAATGTATATAATTACATATACGAACAAAATCTCTTTAAATGAAATATGGATTTACGTCATTAACTTTAATATGACAAATCCATTTATAATGAAATAAATAACATAAATTATTTCAAAAAGCAAAAAATAGAAACATAATTAATTTGCCATGAATTAATCAAGGCAAAATTATGATTCAATAATTGAAATCGATAACAAATAAAATGAATTCGATTTCATTAAAAAGAATCATCGAAGAAATTAAAGAAAAACTTAAACGAAAAATCACTAGTTTTCAACCATGCTCTGATACCACATGTAAGACTTAATAGAGTTCTCTACATAGTAGTTATTTACAATAAACTCTCATATGAGTTATTTTACAATAATTCATAGGAGTTATTTTATAATAACTCAAATGAGTTATTTTATAATAATCGCTCATAGGAGTTATTTGATCAAACGGTACATAAACGAATGATCAAATTATCTTTTCTTGACCAATAGGATTTAAACATAAATAATTAAATTGCAATAATTCAAATATATGGGCCACATAATGATTTATATAATTAAATATATTTTCTTAAATAATTATTGTGACGTCTTGCATAATTAATATATTTAATTATTCTAACACGTAGCGGAGAGTTGAGTGCAGTTTAGTTCTTGTAGCAAGCACCGATCCACGTTATCTCAGCGGCCGTGGAGGCGAGGGCTCGGTATTCTGCTTCGGTGGACGAACGAGCTACTGCATTTTGCTTCTTTGCACTCCATGATATGAGAGATGAGCCAAGAAAATTGCAGTAACCTGTCATGGATTTTCGGTCCTTCGTGTCTCCAGCCCAGTCCGAATCGGAGTAAGACTGAAGGACGGGTTTGTCCCGAAACAGAGGTAGACCGATGTGCAAGGTACCTTGAAGATATCGAAGTAAGCGTTTAAGGGCTTCGAAATGTAGAACGGTTAGATTTTGCATGTGTTGACAGATCTTGTTAACAGTGAACGCGATGTCCGGCCAAGTAAGGGTAAGATATTGAAGACATCCGGCGAGTTGGCGATAAAAAATAGGATTGGAAAAAGAAGCAGTTAGATTGTTTGTGTTTGAACTGGTGGAGTGAAAGGGAGTAGAGATAGATTTGCAATTACTCATACCTGCGCGTGCTAGGATGCTTTGTGTGAATCGACTTTGAGATAGGTGTAGACCATACGAAGTCAGAGTGACTTGTATACCCAGGAACTGTGAGAGTGACCCGAGGTCGCGCATAGTGAAGGTGGCGTTCAGGATGGCGATGAGCTTCTTGAGAGCACTGGAGGAAGTACCGGTAAGTATGATGTCGTCGACGTAGACTAGAAAGTACATTTGGACGCTGTTGTGGTTGTAGAGGAGAAGGGATGGATCGGAGGAGATGAGCGTAAATCCGAGAGATTGGAGATGACCGGTGAGAGTAGCAAACCATTCACGAGGTGATTGTTTTAGCCTATAGAGTGCCTTTTTAAGGCGGCAAACATGGTGAGGATGGTTTTGGTCGATGAAACTGATAGGTTGTTTCATGTAAACAAGGTGGTTAGAGTGTCGTGGAGGAACGCGTTGGAAACGTCAAGCTGATGCAGAGGCCATTGGTGATGAAGAGCAATGGCAAGGAGAATCCGGATCATTGGCATTTTGGCGACAGGACTAAAGGTTTCGGCGTAATCGATACTTTGTTCTTGGTTGAAGCCTTGCGCAACCAATCTGGCCTTGTACCGAGCAACCGATCCGTCGGCGAGATATTTGGTATTCTGTGAAAGTCCATCTGCATCCTAGAACGTTTTGAGATGGGTCGGGTAGAACGAGATCCCAGGTATTCTGTGATTGGAGAGCTTGAAATTCTTGATTCATAGCTTGTAGCCAATGTCTGGATTTCACGGCTTCCTTGTAGCAGCTGGGGTCGGGATCGACATTTGTGTGAAGGAGGCTAAGTATTTTCTTTGGCCTGGAGTTCCCTGTCTTAGACCGTGTCTGCATATGGTGTGCTGGATGGATTTTGCTTGTCATGTTTGATAGAGGTGAGTCGTTAGTAGGTGGTAGATCGTTGATAGCTATGACCGGAGCAGTGGGATGGAGAGCCTCGGCGTGGATGACAGGAGAAGTACGAGTGTTGTTGTTGGTTGAACAAGTTGGCACAAGTAGAAGCAGAGGTATGGATTCTGTAATGGGGGAAGAGCAAGTGGTTGTAGATTGAGACGAGTAAGTTAATATACCTTCATTGAATACAACGTGTCGGGATATGTAAACGAAGCCCGTTTATGGATCGAGACAGCGGTATCCTTTCTGTGCGGAGGCGTAGCCGATAAAAATGCAGGCAGTGGATAACGGAGATAATTTGTTTGTGTTGTATGGTCGGATCCAGGGATAGCAGCGGCATCCAAAGATTTTTAGGTGGTTGTAAGCGGGTGGTTTTTGGTATAGAAGTTGATACGGAGTTTTGTTTTTGAGAGAGCGGGAAGGCAACCTATTAATAAGATATGCAGCAGTGTTAAGAGCTTCAACCCATAGCGATTTGGGAAGATGAGCTTCGATAAGAAGACTCCGCATTGTCTCTAATAGGTTCCGATGCTTTCTTTCGGCTACGCCATTTTGAGCCGGCGTGTAAGGGAAAGTAAACTGGTGAATGATGCCCGAGTTCTTGAATAAGTTCTTGAACTTGTTATTTATGAACTCGCCTCCACCGTCGAAGCGAAAAGTTTTAATGGTTTGGTTGAATTGATTTTTAATCATATTATGCCGTTCAAGAAATTTATCAAACACTTCGTATTTATGAAATAACAGAAAAGTCCAGCAGTACTTAGAATAATCATCAATGAAGGAAACGTAATATTTGTAGCCTTGAGCGGACGGCGTGGGAGATGGCCCCCAGACATCGGAGTGAACCAGTTCAAAGCTATACGTAGTAAAAGATTTAGACGATGTAAATGGTAAACGACGGCTTTTAGACAAGTTACAACTATGACAGTGAGTCTTATTAAGGTTGGTACAAATAGCATGAATAAACTTTCGAATAGACTGAATAGTTTGCGGAGCCGGATGTCCGAGACGTCTGTGTCATAGGTCTGGTATAGTTTGAGCTGAGAATAGAGCGAACTTCGCGGTGGTCGGTGGTAAGCGAATGGGGTAAAGCCCGTTGAGGCAAGGTCCCTTGAGCAGATGTGACCCGTCTTCGAGTCCTGGATTTGAAAGTCTGGTTATCTTTGGTTAACTGATGAACCGGCCGATTCGGTGCGATTTTTAAAACGTTAGAATATATTATATTTTTCTTATTCATCTTGAAGAGTTACACCCTTTAGCATGATACCATTATTGTTTACTTGTGGTATCTCATAGTAGTTAGCTTATAGTTGTTAATCATATTTTTTACTAAAGTTCTATTTTGGATAAATTTCTCATTATTTTATTTTTCAGGCTACAACCACAATTCTTTTTAACTTCTATTTTATTGCTGATTTCTCGATGATTTTTAAACATTTTTGTTATGGGAAGTTATTTGATTTTTAAAAATGAATACATTTATTTGTTTAAATTGAGATTTCATTTGGGAAATTTTTATTGCTTTTTAAAATATTTTTTAGTACAAAATTTTTAATTTAAAAACTTTTAATATTAAAAAGTAATTTTAAAAAATAATAAAAAAGCCGTCCAAAATTAATCCTAAAAAAGTTAAACCAATGTAATAATTTCATCACCAAACTATATTGAAAAAAGATTTTAGCATTTCCTTCTCCAATGTTTTGAGAAATTATTCTATGCGGTCACCGGATCATCCGAAGATGAATGACCATCGACCCGTTCGTGTCGAGCGTAGAGGCCTACGATCGTTTTGTCCTACGGGATAGTGCGGCCGTACCCTCTGCATTCGAACCCCCGCGAGCGGTGCTCCTTCGGAGGCCCACACTTCTCTTCTCTCTTACATCATTTTCACAGTTCTCATACTCAAAATACAAGAGAAAATTAAGTTAATAACACCAAGGGACGCAACTCTTCTGAAAAATGAAAAAGAAAACTATCCAATTCGCCTCGCAAAGCTGTAGCGTCAATTTGGAGCACTGAGACGCTCAAACCCATAGCGTTGTGATGCCGAATCTAGAGTGATGCGACGCTCAACTCTTTGTCGATCAAAGTTGGGGCGCTCAGGAACACAACAAAGGGGCGCTCGAGAACATAACAAGGCGTTGTACCAAAAAAAATTGTAGAGCACCTGAACCCAAACAGGAGGTAAACCCCTAGCACCTCCCAGTGATCACGATAATTTAAACTGAGGTCCAAGGCGACAAAACAACCTAATTCATCAACACAATCAAATTCCACGCAAAACTAACACCTATAAGGCTCACCCAAATTACTAATGGTCTAAAATCTTTGGGCAAATGGTTTAGCTTTGAAGACATGAGAGAAAGATCTTGAGAAGACTTCCATAAGAATATGATGTTGAGATAACAACCATAACCATAGCGCAAGATTTGATAACATTGTGATTAGACACATTGATGTGCAGTGATGTAAAATGGGAAAATATGTTGGGTTTGGATCTGACTCAAAATTGAACTGAATTGAAATCCAATCAACTTGAACCTTATCCATTTAATAATCGGATAAAAAAGATGGATCCCTATTAGCACACCTGGCACATACAATTTCCTTTTATTTCTTTATAACCAATATTGTATCGCCACGTGTACTCAGCTCACTTAGCTTGCCTATTTATAACCGTTACTTGTACTCATTTAGTGATAATGAAAATTATTGTTCATCATATTCCCTGTCTCGGTTCCGCATTCGTATTCTCTGTTTCTTTATGGTATCAGAAGCAGGCCATTCCTGAGCTTCATTCATGGCCTCTTCCGCTTCGGCAACGTCGTCATCACGCACGACAACGAAGATCGGTGATACCTCCGACAAGCCGCTTCTCTATCCCGCCCTCAAATTCATCATCTCCAATTTAAAATGCCTCGTTCCACACCCTCTGTCCATGGATAATTATCCAATATGGAGAAATCAGATCTTAAAACTGTTAAAGGCGAACGGTTTTGAGTCCTTTCTTGAAGCTCCTCCTGCATTCATCACCAATCAAGATTCCGAAAATCTTGATACCGACAACAACAAATGGCTTCTTATCGATCGCAATCTTGCTACCGCCATTTCATCTACTCTATCCGCCAATGTCATACCCTATGTTATGCATCTTGACTCCATTCATGAAATCTGGTCGGCTCTCCAAACTAGATTTCAATCCGCCAATAGATCAAAAGTGATGCAGCTCAAGAACGAACTACAAAACATATCTATGTGCAATCTTTCCATGCAAGATTACTTAATGGAGATCAAGAAGACTGTCGATCTTATCATTTCAGCTGGTTGCAATCTTGACAATGAAGATATTATTCTTCATATCCTCAACGGACTACCTCCTCCGTACCAATCTTTCAAAACCGCCGTAAGAACATTACAAACACCTCTCTCACTCGATAACCTCTATGCGATGTTGATCAGCGAGGAAATTCACTTACGGCACGATTCTCAAAGATTCTCCATTCATACTGACAATCAAACTGCTCTTTATACCAATCGAGGTCGTAGCAGATGCGGACGCGGTCCTACCCCTCAACCTTCTCAACATAACTCCAAACCAGGATCCAAATCATCTATAACATGTCAAATCTGTACAAAACGAGGACACTCAGCTGATATCTGCTGGCATAGGCATAACTCCAAATACGTTCCACCCTCTCAACCCACTGCTAACAGTCAAGCACTCATGGCAGCATCCGACATTACCTCCACTGATTGGTATCTGGACTCAGGAGCTTCATCGCACATGACGAACGGTCAAGACAACATGATCCAATCCTCCAACTACACTGGCTCCGATCAAGTCATTGTCGGGGACGGAAGAGCTATTCCTATCGCTCACTCAGGCGCTGGAATCCTTCCTACCCCCGAGCGTAAGCTTCAACTATCTAATCTACTTCACTTACCTACTATTTCTCATAATTTAATTTCTATTTCCAACTTAGTTAAAGACAACAACATTTCTATAACCTTTGATCCTAACGGTTACCATGTCAAGGATTTGCAGACTCACAAACTTCTTCTTCAAAGGCCCTGTAGAGCCGGCCTCTACCCTATCAAGATCAAGAAATCCGAACAATCGAAGACGGCTCTCACCACCAGCTTGCGGCATTCTTCCAACTGGCATCAACGTCTCGGCCATCCTCACCAACGGATTCTTGAAACCATTTCTAAACGAAATCCTTCTCTCTGTATTGTCAATAAGAACAGCAATTGCACTTCTTGTAATGCTTGTAAAAGCCATAAACTTGAGTTTTCAAGATCTGTTCATCGAAAAAATTCTCCTCTGGCTTTACTTCACTCGGACATATGGGGGCCTTCCCCTGTTCAATCTCAACAGGGTTTTCAATATTATTTACTTATACTTGACGATTATTCTCGTTATGCTTGGGCTTTCCCATTCACTTACAAAACTGAAGTTACACAAATTTTCATAAACTTTATAACAT